TCACTAAAGACTCCAAGTCCATTTCAGTTTTACTCTACACCCTTGTTTGTTTGTTTGGCCCCTCAGGCCATGATTTGTTTAACAGATAAGGCATCTGGAAGGATTTTTTTCTTTTTCTAGTTTTTAAAGAAGTGTACCATATGTATTAACAGAGCCCGTTTCAAGAAACTAAATCAACAACAATCACCCATTAAATGCTCCATAGATGTGGTTCTCTCTTTCTTTACCTATAGGATTCCACAACACCTAAATAAGACAAAAACTAACAACCCATTGGACTAAGGCCATGAGCAGACAGTTCACCAAAAGTGATCACGAACAAGCATGAGAAAACGCTCACCATCACTTGCCACCCAGGAGACGCTAAACACAACCATGACCTCTCACCTTGCACCCAATTCAAGAAATCAGAAAAGAACATGCTGGAGAGGGTGCTGAGAGACTGGAACTCCATGCCCTGCTGCTGGGCTTGATGACACGTACAGCTGGGGTGGAAAGTGATGTGGCACGACCTGAAACAACTGGGAATTGAAATCCCACACAACCCAGCAATCCTTCAGCTGGGTAGATACTGCAAAAAAGCAAAAGACAATGCAAACACGTACGCTCTCCCATGCTCACTGCAGCACAGTTCAAATAGCAGGAAGCTGGAAACAGCCCAGATGCCCCTCGGCGGAAGACTAGGGAAAGAAACTCAGACATAGACACAATGGAATACTTTGCATCCCTAACCAACCGGATGAAACCACGGCACACCTGATGACATGGGTGGACCAGGAGACCATTATGCTGAGCTAGTCATTCACAACAAGGCAAATCGTAAAGGAGGGCACTAGTACAAGGACAAGCACGAAGACAAAGAAAGGCTTCTGTGCTCAGGTCATGGAATCTTCCCATCTCAACTCCCAAACAGCAAGGTGTTGTGCCTGCCGAATGCTCATGAACCGGGTATCCGCCCCCACCTCGACTGTACAGCTTAGACACCACTTCACCAAGGGAGGCCTCACCTCGGCTGTGGTCAGTTCCTCATGTTGGGGACGGAGGAAAAAGGCCAACGGGTCCATGCTGCGTGGTTCTAAGGTCACCCAAGCCAGCAGACATTCCCACGGTGTGCTTAGTGAACTTCACTGCACATTGAAGCCCACAGTGGCAGGGGTGGGAGGACAGGGACACACCTGTTTCGGAGATGATTTCACTTGGATAAGCGAAGTGGAGCAACCTGCCCTTAGGAAAGTGCTTACCTTTACTTACATACACCCCCAAGGGGAGCAGATACCCAGTACCGGCTTCCTTCCCTG